GAGATTGCATCTCCCTGTCTTACTCCTCTTTTGATTGGTATAGCAGGCCCTGTTGTCTCTAGTTTAATTCTGCTGTTACAGTTTTGATATATGTGTTGTAGTACTTTCAGATAATTAAATATACTCTATGTAAATGAAAAGGAATCATTACCCAGGTCTACCTTAGATATCAGAAAAATTATGTCACCCTCACCAGTTCACACAACCCATTTGCGATCTTCGTTTTAGGATTTGCTAAAATGTTTTGAACTAACTCAACATGTTCTTGAGTTATAAATAGTGTAACTAACACGACTTTATACACTATTCGTAGATAATAATTACAAAAATATTGGCATCTTGTAGGAAACTGATAATGGAAGGTTTATTTACTTATGCCTATATATATCATGCCTTAAAGAAGCAATTATTTTAACGATAATGCAAGGCTGAGAGAAACTTTTAAGTAGATAATCCCGACGATTTGTCTATAAATCAATATCTAATAATGATGAGTTAGTTGGAGAAAATTACTAGTATAATCGTCTGTTTTATTAAATATTAAGTGAATTACAACTTAAAGTAGGTCATTAATGCAATAATGCGCCTATCGGAAGATGAGACTACCTGTCCCAATGTGTTAGCAATTCACTGGAAAGCAACTCGCTCTTACAATTACAACAGGCGCCGAATTTTCCAGCATTTTTTACAATTGGACAATTACTTTATTTTCGATGTATATTGATAATTATAGTTCTTAATTAATATTAAAATAATTTAATTTTTTTGTATTAATATTTAGTATGTACCTACATGTTTATTTATAATACTAAACGCCTACCTAATTTATCATACTAAAGAGCGTAAGTAACAAATTATTTACACGCGGTTGTCATTTAAAATTGATAAGGTGCTTTTATAAGTCGATATAAAGTCTATTAAAATAACATAATGAACAATTTAACTAAAAGAGTGTCAATTAATATGATAACTTAATTGCCACTCTGTGTGTGCATTTTTCCTATTCCGTATGTTACATATACATACATAAATACGCACACGAAAAGAAATGTGTAAATTGAACTATATTTGTATAACCATAATATTGACTTTTACTCTTTAAAAATAGTGAAGTTGACCATTCACAACATGCATGACGTCTAATATTTTTTTGAAAATGACGTAATTTTAATTTATCTTTTACCTACACGCCTTTGTAGTTATAGGGACTGTACTCATGGAAAAATATTTAAATATATGTATTAATTAGTTTTACGAAGCAAACGTAAGTATACTCAGGAATAGATACCTACCTTAAGTACGTTTTTTTATACCACGACAGTGGCAAAATAGCACACGGCTCACCTGATGGTAAGCGGTTACCGAGGCTATGTACGCTTGTAATGCTTGGGGCATTACATGCGTCTTACTGACCCTTAAGAAACCCATTATCTACGTGTCCGTCTTTAGTATATTACGTAGCCATTATATCAAAACCTTCACCTTTTTTGGATTTGTCATTATGATTCTATGTTAAACCTACTTACATCGTCGAACTCGTTTGTAAAACAACATCAAGTGTTCATCGATTTCTAGACGATGTCAAAAGAATAAGAAGAAAATTGAGTACCTACACACAGTTACTGTTATAATAATATTGGATTGTACCTTTTATTTTTAAAGGGGCGTAAATTATCCAATGTCTTCTGCCGCCTTGGGTGAGGCGAAAGGGAGTGTCAAACTGTAAAAGTCTAAATATCACTTTTTTCCTACTTCTACTCTTGATGCCAACCCTTGCCAACTGTGTCGAAAATCAATCAAACAATTAATTAAGCTTTAAGTTTATGAAAGATCCCTGTTATTCTTTTGAACTAGTAAGTACTTCATAAATGAATCTTTCATTACTAGAAAAATGTTGAAATAGGTGCATACTTATTGATACATCCATGTGTTTATTATATATGGTAGGCAGACACGCACATTACGGTACTTAATACCACTGTAGAATGTAACACCCACTTTTCACTATTTATGTTACGAGTCCCATACAATAGAGGGTGAGCCTGAGCAATGAGCATATACCGGGCTCAATTCCAAACTCCGTGCTTCTACTGAGAATTTTCGTTATTAATTCAAACACATCACATAGTCACACACAATATAATTAAAACCTTACTTTATATGTATCCCGAATGTTCCAAAAACATTGTTTATAATGCATTTTCCTAGCACTAAAATGCCGTAGCTCACTGCAATACCGATCTCACGCATGGCCTTAGCTATTGGAGATTAGAAACTTAATGATAATATTCACGTTTTTCGTACAATACACTATGAACTTTAGAGTTTGTTTCCACTGACAATACGTAAGAAATATGTTTTATAATAACTATAGTGAGACATACTAAATAACTTCATAAAATCGCTGGTTACTCACGTGAACATAATGATAAAAGCTCTGCTAGAGTAGGTTACGCAACATCGCCGCAGCGACCGCGCACTCTGCTCATGAGCATCCTCATGAGGAAGAGTCCCTCTTTGATTCGAAACTAGTAGAGCTTTTCTCAGTATATCCCGCTTCTTTTAGTTATACATTTAAGTTAAAAAATATTTTATTTTTAACCATCTTGGACATATAACATGTTTAACTACAAAAAAGAAAAAAAATGTTCTGTCAGTGTTCACAGAAATAATTACGTTCTTAGTGTTTCATAAATCGAAAATAAAAAAAATTACCACTATCTAGGAAGTAAATTCAAGGTATTTTGCAGACTAGTTTACAGTCATCCCACCATAGTTGTGGAACAATTTGAAATTGTTTGTGTAGAACTCAGTTCTCAAGCGTTTTAGTATTGTAATTAGTTAGTTACGGTAGCCAGGACAAATAAATAATAAAGTTTTCTTATAGAAATACATAATTGACCTTGGTTTTTATATCCAGGACTAATGAAAAGACAGAAGTAAGTACCTACACAATATCAATGTCTAGGTACTTTTTTGCGTTACATGACTAACTGCCAATACCAATAACCTATCTTAATCTAAAATCTGTGAATTAAGATCGATTTTTAATAGAAACTTCATACAACAAATGTCCAGACTTAACTAAAAAAAATATTTCTTTCAACTTGAGTCGAAACTGGGACGATAAAGTGTGAATAATTTATTAGCTATTTTTGCATAAATTGTTATTTATATTGATAGACACATTCACAGCCCACGTGGTCAATGTTGGCCGACGCTAGCGAAGAATTTGCTTTCAACAGTTTTCAGTCGTCAGTTAAAGACTTAGGGTCGATTTTTTCAACGCTCGATAAATTTTGACTGAGTAATAACTTTGACTTCCATACTAAAAACTATCAAATGCCAATTTTACTCTATAGCAGCACTGTAGCCAAATGCCATTTAGCGCTTGTCTACATGTAGAATAAAAAAACAAATTTTATGGAATTAACGTAAATTTTGACACTTGTCAGTGTCATCTCTATACATTTTGTTTTCTACTCTCTCTGTAGACAAGCGCTAAAGTGGCGTTTGGCTAAAGGCCCAGTTAAGAATTAACTGATGATTGAAAAATCAGCCCTATGATACCTATAGAAACTGAAAGTAATACTCTGTATTTATGTATACGACTGAATAAAATTGGAATCTCTGTTTATAATATTGATATAACCGCTTTTTGCTACATGCATATGAATATATATGCCAACGATACATATACCATACGTCTGTGTATTTGTACTGACTAATCTCTAGAATGGCTGGACCGATTTAGCAAGGCTTTAATTGGCAGGTAGCTGTTGTACAAAGGAGTAACATGGACTACTTTTATTTTGGAAAATTGAAACAAAAAAAAGTTATGTTTTAATTAAAAAAAAAGTTATTTTATGTAAAAATCATATTCTACGCGGACCAAGTCTCGGGCAACAGCTAGCCTTACTTAATAGTGGAACTTCCTTTGATACTATTGAATATTCTAAATACTTATGTGGAATAAAAACTCGGATTTACAAAAATTTTAAAAAAACGATGTCATAAACTAAGCTCGGCAAAGTGGCGCTATAGGGATGATAAGCCTCATTATAATTTGTTGGTAAATAACATTAGTCTATATACACAATACATAGATAGCCATTATCATACTTACACATTAACAGATTGGTAATACCTCGATTAGTAAACACTTTAGTCTAATCAGAGGAATGGGAATTATGTTATAAATATCATGTTCACTTTATTCAAGATAATATTATAGTTTCCTATCTAATTTAATAGGCAATAAGCTGCTAAGCCTGTACCTAGCTAACGTTTTTAAATGTATTTTTTTATAGGGGGCCCAATCATGGAATGGCTTTTCCCGGCTGGGTAAGGCGGGAGGGAGTGTCAGACTCTTACTGACTAAAAACCACCCCGTTCCTACTCCTGCTCTTTGAGCCGGCACCCCGGTAACGGTAACCCGTTAAGTCCTCTGCGGCTCCGTATCGGCATCATCTCTCGGCTTTTTATATGTATAGAAATTAACTATGTATAGCGTTAGAAAATAAAACTAAGATGCGTTTTTTGGTTCCTCATATCATTATTTTTGTTAGTTAATAAATATAGTTCGGGAGTCGAAGTACTATACGTCATAAATTAAGTATGGGATGCTGATTTGTGACGTTATCATATATTTCGCTATTACCTAGATAAGTAGTTTAGTAGTTTATAGTTAAACAATTAAACAAGAAACCTGCCTATTTTATGATTTATTAAATTTTTTCAATAATTTTAATTGGGGAAGCTAGATACGTTTTTTAATCGTGTTATAATTATGTTTTCTGTTTTCAATTTTAATTGGATTATCAATTGTGATGATTATACTTTTTTTAGTACTATTAATAATAAAATGGCATTCTGTGACAAAAAAAACTCCATTCACTTCAAAGTCATAGTACCTATTAAACTTGACTAGACACGAGACGACTGAATTTTTAATCAAGTTGCCTGTCGAAGTAGGAAACGACAGCACGCGTGTTGACGCTGATTCTCTTAAAACTTGAATAAAGAACGTGTTAAGTTTTATAGAAAAACTCTGTGTTAATATTTCGTTTATTAAAAAGTTACGTAAAAAAAGTAAACAAAATCACATTTGTTTTGATTCTCTTGACATTGTAGCTGTGTCGCCGTGGAAGGGATCCCACTCTCGACCTCCATTCCAAGTTCAATCAAAAAACCAGTTCAACAACAAGTTTCCACAAATTCCTACATTCAGTGCAGTTTATATTTGATTACAAAAATACAAATGCCATTACACGCGCGACAGTTTACTTGACGGGGGTGATAAGATAAAATAATCTCAAAAGCGTTCGGAGGTTCATAAAGTCGTTGTTTCGGATCATGTGTGATGCAGTGCCACGGAGACTATCAGACATGGGTGACATTACAGTGCCAGAATTAGAGAAAATTAATAAAAATACGGAAAATGAAAAGGAACAAAGTGAGACAAAGGATGAATGCGTCAGCAATGATCAGCGATCGCCATTTAGGAGGCAGGTGTGTGTTAAAAAAAGCTTTTTAATAAGTGATTTAGTTAAGAATTAATTAAAATATTATTATAAAAATGTGTGGGTGTTAAATAAAAAATTTCTTCGATATACGTAAGTAAACAATGGACACAGGTTTGTTATATTTTATGTAATTGATCGACGAAGTACTGACCATCACCTAGTTCGTAGATTATGAGATATTAACGGCCGGATCTAACGTAATGTAATGATTTCCTCGGCGCACATTATCATCTGTTTAATAACTTCTATTAAAATTTCCATTAGGTAATTAGTTTGGGAAGCACGTGAATTAAATATGTAAAAGTGGGGATATGGATATTAATTCTTTGATTAGCCATAGTTTTATATAGATATGTATAATATTATTGTTGAAAAAGAAAAAAAAATCGAAATTATTAAATTCATTTTCAATTCTATTGTCAACTTATTTAGAGCTGCTTTTAGCATTAAAGATACTTTTACCTGTGAAATAAATAATACTTAAAGGGAAGTTATAAAGCGATTTCGTGTGTTAAGACTATTAAATTAAAGGTCAAAATTGCTTGTTTGATATTTTTAAATAAGTCACCTCGAAATTACTGGTTTCGTTTTACATCTTAGTTCTTTTTTATCTTAAACGAGTACCATATTATTAAATACGGCAAATAAAAAAAATAAAGATATGAATACTAGTAGAATTTTAATCAAACCACGTGAATAATATTGTGGATTAAATATATATTAGGCATATTAAATTTAATGAAAAATCTTAATATCTTGCTTTAATCTAGATAAACTTTAACTATCCTGGTTCGTATAAAATAATCCGATTTTTAGAAGACATTTGCATTTAAATTACTTTATTAATACGTGACATGCGTGTAAAATAAGAACTCGCACCTATGAACGCGAAAGTTCGTTTTGTCACGCTTTCATAGCTAAACCGCTGGACCGATTTTGATATAATTTATTAAGAAAACATATCCAGTTTCAAGAATGGGAACAGCAACAGTCTATCAAAATGTGACCGTAGAAATGCCGCTGGTTTAACATGCAAAGAGGTAGCATAGTTTCTAGTTTCGTATATCTGCTATCAAATTTTAAAAAAATGAGGCGTGAAGCCTTTAGTTTTTATAACGATGTCCTTGGCTCTTGTCTGCGCAGTGCCTTACCATCATGGCATAAGTTCTAACAATGGACTCCAAAATGTATACTTTATTATAATATTAGATATTAGTATGCATATCATATGCCTCTTAGCGAATCATTGTTGAGTTTTGGTCACGAAAAGGAAGCGTAAAATTATATTGAACTTAATTCAAAGGACAAGCACCTCTTTGTATTCCTACAAGAAGTTAATTCGTCAAATTAATTCGATAAATCACGCATTAGTCAGATGAAGGAACGATAAGTAAAATTATTATAATTATGTAGTTTGCAATTGATAAAAATTTACTAGATTTCAAGACCTAGTAGGACCGCAGAATCTCATTTGGATTTAAGTAAATTGCGAATCGTTTATGGTAAATAGATATTAGGTAGCATTAAATGAGAATAATGACCTAATCAGTACTTCAGTTTATGACAAGGTAAATTTTAAAGTAAATTGTGTAGGATATTATGGTATATATATATATAGCACTAAATGAGGATAATGACCTAATCAGCATGTCTGTTTACCCTGTCGATCTGAATTATGCAGATTTTTCATTCAAAAGAGGTTTAGAACTGAACATTATTACACTTTGTTAAAAGTGCCGCTACTAATATTTCACGATAGACTTGACACTCATGTAATGCATGTCGTAATTTTCTAATCTAAAGCACTATGAAACATTGTTATCTATTATCTAAAGTCTAGTGACATTCTTTATCCTCAAACTATGCACGTGCAAAAATTTTGCAAATAAAAGAGAAGACAAGTTTTGGGGATATTTAATTAGGAAATTCGACACCTAACAATGTACGTACTTCTCAGAAAAATACTAAAATAATGTAAAATTAATGCACAAATTTTATATTATGGAACCAATAAAATATAATGTTCTTATGACATTATCAAATATGTAGAAGTCAATACTAGTATTATCTTCGCTTTACGATTGGTATGTGCAATATGAAACTACTTTTTAAACCAACTGGTTAGAACCATACATAGACAAACTACAACCCCTCTTAAGTAGTGTTCAAAATAAAAGAACGACTAAACCTTAAAAAAGTTTTTTTTGAGGGCTAAAATCATCCAATGACTTCTCCCGCCGGGTGAGGCGAGAGGGAGTGTCAGACTCTTACTGACTAAAACTTCCTACTCCTGCACTTCGAACCGATGCCCTAGCAACCCGTTAAGTCCTCCGCGGCTCCAACCGTAAAACAAGTCTAACAAAACCATAATGATCACCAAATCACTATCATAAAATAAACATGAAATTATATGATCTAACTGTACCGGAATTTCAAGCTGTCTCCTAATTACTCTACAGTCATTACTCGTACGCATTATTTACTCTAATCATAATGATGCTAATTATTATTATTGTGCTTATATATTGTAGTATTGTTTACCTACTTACTATTAGATATGGGTTACACGTGCATGTGCACGATTACGCACAGAGTTCACTGTTGTCACTGTTACAATGTATTTATTGCAGTTCTCTTCAAGATCATTGCCATCGTACGCGTTTACTCGTGATTTAGTTGATTAAAGATGGCCAATAAACTATTCTTTCATAAAATACATTTAAAAATTCGGCGACAGACCCTTCTTGATTTGAAGTGGGTTTAACATACTAAAATCGTCTCCTAAGTGTAACAATCACTTTTCTGAAAACCACATCAAAATCGGTTCAGCCTTTAACGAGATAATCGCGCACAAACATAGATATAGGTCAAACTGAGACTTTTTAAGTCATTTTATCTCTTAATAATTAAAATCTCCCCCATGATTCTTCATCAATTACTTTAGCATGTTTCACGATAGATATTGTACAAAGATATTTAGCGTTACTTAGAATACTTTGAATTTGTGCGCCCAACCTTTGATTTATGTAGTATGTCTCTCAGCTTATCTTTAAGTCATTAGATATAACTGTCTGTCTGTACATCTTATAGATCAAAAATGCCACCTACATCATCTGCATCTTGTTTATGTTTCATTTTGTTTCAGGCGATCATTTCATTTGGCGTCTTCATGCTCACTCTGGGCGCTGGCGGCACATCAGGCATCTCTGCCATTTTAATACCACAATTAGCACATGCTAAGGGGAAGCATGAATTCTCAGTCGAAATGGTATCATGGGTAGGTACGTGTACATTCTGACTTTCGAACCTATTGAATTGTTATTTAAGCAAATACTTTGAATTAATCGAATTATGTTTCTTTTTAGCCGCAATATCATCTTTGGCCCTCTTCTTCGGTAACCTGATGGCGGGTCTTTTAATGGACAGACTTGGAAGACGTTTATCTACATTACTGCTAGCCGCCACCTTTGTATCAGGATGGCTGATCATTGGATTTTCCTACGACAAAATGTACTTAATATTAATAGGAAGGTTCATCACTGGATTATGTCAAGGATGGCTTGGTCCTTTAGGTCCAGTGTATGTAGGAGAAATTAGTTCTCCAGCCTACAGGGGACTGTTCTTAGCAGCTCTCTCTTTGGGAATCGCAGTGGGTGTCTTCATGTCACATTTGTTCGGTACATTCCTTCACTGGAGCTTAGCATCATTGTTGTGTGGATTCTTCCCTCTGTTTGGTGGAATCATCCTTTATTACGCACCAGAATCACCTTCGTGGTTGGCATCTAAAAACAGAATCGATGAATGTATTATGTCGTACCAATGGTACAGAGGAAATAGTGTAGCCATGAAGACAGAGCTGGATAAAATGATTGCAGATCTCACATCAAAACAAAAGACTCAAGGCAAATTGAAAACTTTAGCTGCAAACATTAAGAAGCCAGAATTTTATAAGCCATTGGGAATAATGACTACATTTTTCGTCATTACACAACTCTGCGGAGTTAACGTTATCTGTGCATATACAACAGATATGATGAAAGAACTTATCGGCAGGGGTTCAAATAGCTCATACGCATACGCCGCCATGTTGAGTATAGATTTGTTACGATGTGTGTCCCTGGCAGTGGCCTGCATGATGCTCAGGAAGTCAGGAAGAAGACCCATGGCAATATTCAGTGGAGTGTTCACGTCATTATCTTTAATAGCATTAGCTTTATATTTGTACCTGCATAGTTCTGGTGTCATCCATGACAAGTCACCGTTTATATCTTTAGGTTTGATGGCATTCTACATAATTGTATCAAATCTAGGAATTTCACCGCTTCCATGGAATATGGTCGGTGAACTGTTTGCTGTTGAAACTAAAGGAGTTGGTTCTGGTATCAGTGTTATGATGACATCGATTGCTTTCTTTGCAGTAGTAAAGACAGCTCCTTCTATGTTCTTAAGCATAGGTCACCATGGAACTTATCTGTTCTATGGGTTATCCACATTGTGTGGTACCATATTCTTATATTTCTGTTTACCTGAAACAAAAGAGAAAACTTTACTTCAAATTGAAGAATACTTTAGGTATGGTAAAAAAAAGAATAGTAAAGAAGTAGATATCTAAGAAGTAGCGGTTACGACATCAGCTGATGACTGTTTGTATTGGTTATATTTACAAAACTGATCTCCTGAATGACGTACAGACGTGATAGTGTAAACTTAAGGTTGATGTAGTCTGTTTGTACGAACGATGAAAGGAGCCGTATTTATTTTAGTAATCGCAAAAGCGTTTAATGAAGTATTTTATCAAAAACTGTACAATGTTCGTTGTAAAACATTGTAGTGTGTAACGAAGAAGAACCAATGCTTGTATGAGTACTTGTATGATTCAGTTAACCTAGTTTGATTGATTCTCATTGGTCACAGTTTAGTAGTAATGAACATAGATATGATGATCCAGTATCTACATAAATAGAATACGATAAAGGATTTCAACAATATGTAATTGTAATTTATTGAATAGATGTTTCCTTGAAATGAATTATGGATGTATTAATTGTGGATATAAATTTGTGATCTAACTATAAGATTGTACTTATCTATAAGAGTTAAAATAATAGAAATCTGATATTAAAGATTAATTTAATTCGAATGACCTCGTTGTTATTGTTTATTGTGTAATACTTCACACATGGACTTAGGCAAACAAACTGTACAAAACTACATCTCACATACGAACAAGTTGGCACGCTTTATCAATGAATAGTTTAACAATTTTGTACCGTTATGATAAATTATGCAATATGTCAAAAGTTCACTGACATGATTTAATATTTCACAACAATTATTTCGTTTGGTACGTATCTACCCGTGACATTGTGTGGTACCAAATAATATTTGTATTATATACTAGCAGCCCGTCCCGGCTTCGCACGGGGTAGACAATTATTTATTTTTGAAAATTTGGATTGTTGTAGTGACATAACTACAATAGTTGGACATATGCTACCGCGGAGATTTTGTAGACATTATGATGTTCTTCAATATTGTTGTACATTATTTTGTTCTATCGCTAATAGTTTCTGCAGCGCATTCGACGAAAGACATTTTAAAACTCATTTTTCTACACCTGCAGTTACATTGTCCAAATTTTACCAAGGATCCCTAAGCTTTTTCAAAATGAAATGTAGCCTATGTCAAATTGGAAGAATGTAGCATTCTATTAGTGAAAGAATTTTTTAAATCGGCCCAGTACTTTTTGAGCCTATTCATTACAAACATACAAAAATATGTACAAATCTTTCCTCTTTATAATATTAGTATAGATAAATGGTTACCTACGTATTGGACATTTTATTACGATATCCACAGATTTGGAGGGGCTGTACATAAATTATTTTTTTATGGTAACCTCGATTCTTGACCTTGTTTCTTAATGAGTTCTTTAACACAAAATGTTACCAAAATAGAAATCAACGTAGTAGATGAGGAGATTACATTAGATTTTAACATAACATAATATCACGCGTTTTTATCCCCGAAAGGGTAGGCAGAGGACCACATTACGGCACTTAATACCACTGTACAATGTAACGCCCACTTTTCACTATTTATGTTATGAGTCCCATGTAACAGGGGGTGAGCCTATTGCTATATAGATAACGGGCACGATTCCGGACTCCGTGCTAGTACCGAGATTTTTTTTAAATCCCATTAATACTTTGCCCGACCCGGGAATCGAACATAACTATTATGGTTACTTCTTTATTACGATCTCCGGCCACCGTAAGCAAAGGCCTGCGCCCTACCAGAACCAGGCTCGACCGTACGTCGCGTTCCGCGCGCGCCTCAAGGAGCCATCAGACCACCACATATGGGGCCGAACAAGGCTGATGCCGATACTGAGCCGCGGAAGATTTAACGGGTTGCCGGGGCTCCGCCTTGAAGTACAGGAGTTAGAACGGGATGGTTTTTAGTCAGTGAGAGTCTGACACTTCCTCTCGCCTCAAGCCATTGGATGATTATCACCCTCAAAAATGGTTACTTCTTTATTACATTTATTGGCTAACCCCTTCGACTTAGATGATTTGCGCATAGTCCATCAGTCAACTGTACCGCGAAGTTGTTGTTGATGATGGTGTTAAGTTAGAATTTGAACCACGAATAATATACAATGATTATACTAGCCACATTAAAATGAGTTAATTGTGAATGATACATATTAATAGCTAGATAAAAAAACTTGATGCCTGATACTGGCCGATTGGAGGTGAAATAATGTATAATTTTCCTAACAATTATTATAAATTGATTAAGTAATTTTAGTGTTTGTTTAATAATAGTTTATGAAAAAAATAACTTCTGCTAGTTGCCTACGTTTCCGCCTAATAAAAAGTAGGTAGGTAGGCCTATTGTCGTTGTTGTTGCTTTTATGTTATTAATCTACTCCTGTTCCAAATATCATCTCAATTCCTTCAGCCGTTTATACGTGAAGAAGAAACAAACAAACAAGGAGGCAAACATACCAACTTTCGCATTTGTAATATTAGTAGGATATTAGGCACAGAGTACTAGTATTGTGTCAAAACTATTTTTAATGCAAACAATATGATAAGTGCGGTATCAGTTTTTACAAAGTCAGCCTATCTTCAAGTGACGTTAGTATGGCATTATGGTCTTAGTCTAACCAGTGAAACATCGATAAATGCAGTAAAAAATGATTATTTTTATAAACTTTTATCTTCATACGTAGACACTTCATTGATAGATATTTTAAGTTCAGTCCCGATAAAACTTTATTGCCTTGTAAAAGATAAAGAAATTGCTTCATCAATTGCGGTTGTGTGCTTATTTGGTATTAATTGCCGTAATTGGATTTTAGGCTTCCGAGAACCGACAATAAGATTAATTAAGTATGTATAGATATTTTTTATACAATTTAATTATTAGATAAAGGATTGTAAGAGCAATAGGGCAGATGTCTAATTTTTATTATAATGTCCGTCTGGTAGGTTATTTTAAATCATTAGAAACGTACCTATTTTTTATTTTCTTACAGAAACGAATACTTTCGACGATATATTGATTTGAAATGTCGCGTGACGTCACTTCTATGTACAATTTATACGTAGAAATGACTCTTAAACTTTAATTCGTTTTATCTAAGTATTGTTTTATTATTCGACAAAATAAAAAATACGTGTCTAATATTTTTTAATTACTAATTAATTTACTAATTAAATTTTTAATTTTATGAATTCTGAAATTCTCAAATATAACACGGTATGAAGGAATGTGCTTCAAATCAAAAAGTTAGCTATAAGTAGACACAGCGATTTAATTTAATATATTAACTTTCATATGGATCCTTCTGCATATCTTTTACCGAAATGCCATGGATGCTTATCTGGTGGTTGACAAATATCACGTTTTAAAAGGATCAGATCACGTCTCATTGGCCAACAATTTTCTTCCTTGAATTAGATATTGAAGTGGGGTCGGTGACCCTTTTATTCCTAATTTTAAAACCTAAGTTATCCAGGTATCTGAATGCGATACCCTAATGATGTTTTCATGCGAAAAGATATCCGAAAATATCTTGAAGCCGTTAACCCTTCCAGTGCATACATATTTATCTTGTGGATATTTTTTTGCTTTGATGATAGATATCGATATCAACATAAGCATGTGATGATCGGTTTTATTGCCATATAAACATAAAACTACTTACTGATAAAATCGCATGTAAAAGTGATACAAGATTGTGTCATTTTCAGCCACTCGATACTGCTCGCTATTGCTGATTTTGTAATACAAAAATTATAGGTACCTAATAATTATTGGACAATACTTAACATACATATGTAATATTATACCACAGTATGACTTTTTATGAGATAAGCCAGTAAACGTTTTCCATCGCTTACCATCGCATTTGATCGCTTATCATCAGGTGATCCGTCTGCTCGTTTGCCTCCTATACCATAATAAAAAAAAAATACGAGGAGAACGGTTCACCTGATGGTAAGCAAGCCATGGACACCTTACACACCAGATGCGTTACAAGTGCGTTATCGGCCTTTTGGGGATAAGGAATTTGAGGATTGTTGAGGATTCAGGGATCGGGGAGATTTGGGACGGAGGATGGTATGATTGAGCCTTCGGTAACCTCACTCACATGACGAAACACAGCGCTAGCGTTGTTTCACGTCGGTCTTCTATGAGGCCGTGGTATCACTCCGGTTGAGCCGGCCCATTCGTGACGAAGCATGGCTCTCCTAAACTTAAGTTTCCGAAAGAGTCCAGGTGACATGGAGATAGGAATGGAAAAAGGTAAGAACAGTTATATTATTATCTATCAGTAGTTCTAGGGACAGAGATAATTACCAACTGGACTGCTTTTTTCATAAATTTTTAGAATCATAAGATTTTGATCAGATTCGGCTAAATGTAAATAATTACTACCTATAGAACAGCTGACTGTAGACTACATTGCTATTACTGACATTCACCAATGAAACGTTTAACATTTTTAAGCAACGATATATCAGCACTTATTTAATAGTAATCAGTTAAACTACATAAATCACTTTGTATAATAACATGTGCAGTACAAGTAAACACGATGTGCCCAATTAAACGGTAATTGCTACCTACTGTCCGCCAACAAAGCGGAACAAATGAATTGATGTAAGACATTTACCTACAAGGGTCCATCCGCACCTAGCAACAAAAACAGTAGGTCAATTTCACAGTCCGTTAACTTGTGCTTAGACTGACACAAGTGTTGGCACGCGTCCTCCACATAAATTATCGATTCTTCCTGTCTGCCACGTGTTAAAAGACCAAGATTCGCCACATCTGTGAAGATTTTTTCCAGGTCCCAGTTCCCACGTTGGCAAGACATGTTTGGTGACAAAAAACAACCAGGAAAACATCTGGAGAGTGGCTTAGTCTATTTATAGAGGACTTGAGTGTTTATTAAATAAAGTGTGAGGAACTTGTTAATGAACATGTGCGTCGGTTGACGGTAATGACATATGTATGCACTGATTGGTGAAGGTTGTGCATTCAAATGTAGATCGATTAGTTCGTCAGACATTATATTCAAATACAGCCAATATCGAACAAAACCCAACCGTTACTGCCATTCTAAAATAAAACATGCATCAATGAAATTGCCTTTATTTTCATGTCAAGTGGTTCCTGTGCTTTAGTTTATTTTATCCCGTTTTCTACTTGCATATCATATCATTCGTATCAAAGGGCCACGATGGAATTCGGGCGGAACGAATATTTTAATAATTTACAATAGGACACGTGGCTGAACGGAAACCATGCACGTGCTATCAATTAGAAGTGGAACAGATAGAAAAAACTTGACTAGAATTTTATTGAACCCTCCGAAGTGGGAGTTACCTATAAAAATGAAAGCGAAATCATAAATATTGCCCTTTGTTTGTTGAGGGTTAGGAAATAAAGGGTTACGAGATTCAGTTTATAGTTTCTTCTTTACAAATTGACGGCCGTGCGGTTAAATATTTTAAATATTATTTATACCTACGATAACAGTTTAAGCGGTGTGTTCTAGTCCGGCCTTGGTTGGATTACGGTGATGTAGATATATGTGATAAGAATTTTAACATACTGCAT